TTAGAAATCACATTTGGAGGTTAGAGTTGTCTGGTTGTATTGCCTAATTTGCAGCTTTTTCAGTATTCTTCTGTTTCTTCCACCTAGCTTTTTTTGTAATATTACAATGTGGCTTTCAGGGGCCACTTTCATGTATGCAACAAGGAACTTGGTCCATTTACAGCTCATATTTCAAGTAAAGCATGTGAGAAAGTCTGGAACATTGCAAAAAAGTTACCAGCAGTCTTACAAATGACAAAGCTCTCAAGGTTGGATTCATGGCCTAAAAGTTTCAAGACTTCACCGCCAAATGATGAGAGCATTGCCCTCTATTTCTTTGCGCAAGATGCTAGGTACAGACATTTTACTGATGTTGCTCCCTTATCAATGAGTACTAATTCTTCATGCAATTGTGTTTCAGAGTGGGAGCAATGCTTGATGAACTATTATGTGAGATCACTAAAAAGGATTTTGTCTTGAAGGTTAAACATGATGAGGCAGAGCTGCTTGCATTCTCCTCGATTGTACTGCCGGAAAGTTATTGTAGTAAGTCTCCCTTCAAGCATGATGGTATTTGTAAATCTAAAAGAGATGCTATATCTGAGTTAGAGATCAGAAGTCAATCTAAAACTTATACACTAAAGCTTTAGATCTAGTCCATGTTTTCATCTAGGAATATTTAAAAATATAATGGTCTTACAGTCTGATTCGTGCGAGGGATTTTGTTTATTCCCTCTTTGAGTACAAAATGTTCTATAAGTGCAGTGTTTGGTTATTCAAAACAAAATAAACAAGTAATGAGAATGTTGAAATGGATGTTATTAGAATCGATAAAATCTTGCATTTGCTAATATCTATGGTTGGTTCCTATATTGTATACAATAATAAATGGCTATTAACTGGTTTTGACATACCAAAGAAGATCTCTTAGTAGTCACAAGGAAACAGGAAACTTTTGTTTGAAACAATGACAAAACATTGGAAAACCCTTGATTTGGTTGATGATACGCCAATAGATGGCTAATTAGTATTCTTTTAATGTGGAAGACCTACTTATTCTTTTATTGGTATGTACTTGTGCACCACTAAGGATGGATGATTCATGTACACAAGGTCTTTAATTTCGAATAATACTGCTCGTATCGGGCGATATATATCGGTCCGCCAGCAAACTGGTACACGGATCACTTGCAACTAGACGGTACTGTCGATTGGGGCTATTTCTGCCCCTGACGGTGACTGAGGGAGAAGAAAGAAAGGGAGAAGGGTGGTGTTAAGCGAGGGAAGAAAGAAAAGGGAGAAGGAGAGGAAAACCTAGAGATCGATGTCGCTCTCCCTCCTTATCTATCGACGACTTCCCTCGGCGCGGGGAGAAGAGAGGTGACGTCGCCTTGGCTTTTTGCTCATGTGGGGAGAAGAAGGTTTCTTCTCCCCACACGCCAAAAAGGGCCACGAGGTTGTCGGTTTTTTTTATATATATACCGAGCTGTGTACCGAATTGTATCTCTCGGTATATGGTATCATACTGTACCAAGCGAGTCTTGAAACTTCGGTACGTTCTTCTCCCCACGCTCCAAAAAGGGCGACGAGGTTATCGGTATTTTTTTAATACATATACCAAGCGGTATATCGAATTGTATCGCTCGGTATACAGTATTGTACCATACCAAGCGAGTCTCGAAACTCCGGTACGGTACAAAATTTCATTCCTTTTATGTACATTCAACATTTGAATGCTACCATTGCTTTTGCTTTTTTTTATTTTATCTTGTGGCTCCATATAACTAAACTAATTTTTAATCTTGTATTTAGGTTGTTATATGTTGTGCCACTAAAGTTTTTGGATTGGGTTTTTGGATTGGATGTCCGACATCACCCATCTTGATGTGGATCAGGTTTTTTTAGCTGATCCATCAGATTAGGATCAAATCAGATTTCTCAGACTGATTTAACTTCATATATTTTGTTTACACCCGACTCCTTTGCTTGTTTTTTAGATTGCTCTGATGATGTTAGCTGATGATATTTCATATTCATGTAGAATTTCAAGAAAAATACTTTTTGTGGGCGGTTTTTAGAAGGCGACAAGGTGCAGTGTCTTGTGCACCAGCCGAATGTTCTCCTAGTTATGATGAAATCACAGAAGAGAAAGAGCGGGCACCATACTTAACACATGCAACAAAGAAAGAGTCTGATGATATTGCTGAAAATTGTATTGTTGCAGATAAGTTGGTGGGGAACTCAAATAATTCTGAAGAAAAACTAGATGAATGCCATGATAGAAATGCATGTTTGTTGCCTTCAGGAAAGCAAATTCCACTTAATTGTGAGTACCCTTCCGGGGAACAGATTGTGAGTGACTGTGAAATGGCAGAACCCAGTAATGGTTGCAAAGATTATCACCAAGAACTATTTACTTTCAACTTCGATCATGACGAGGGGACCACCAATTACCCCATGAGCTTATTTCCAGAACAAGGCGAAGACATGGCTTTAACTTCTAGGATAAGAGGAAGCGATTCATTAGACCTCAAACTGGGGTATAGCTGGTCGACTTGTGATGATGCACATTTAAAAGACATGTTCAATAGTGATTCACTCACTTAGTTACCACTGGATGGTGCCCTGTTTGTGCAACAATGTTTCTTACAAAAGTTCAAGAACCGATATCAAAATGGCGCCTTAGCAACATGCCACGTTGCGGTTCACCTGGGAAAATATAGAACAGTTTTGCACTTGTGCTTTTCAATCTGCAAATTTTTGAGACCACTTTTGGTGTCAGTTCTCAAGCTTTGACATTTTACTTCAATAACCATTGTAAATATCTGTCTGTTGTATTTTATGACGTCATATTGATATATTCGATCTCATGTAAGTAACCATTTTGAATATATATCTTACATGTCTTGTGTCATTTCTAGTATCATGTTAGTCCAAACCTGTTGTAACCCATCCCCTCTTGGTTACTCTCACAGTTGTGCAACTGTGTCTTTGCTTTTTTGTGCTGGAGAGCTTATCGGTTGCTTAGAGAGGTAAAGAAAAAAGTGTCTTCTAGGATCAGGGATTTATTTTGGGATTATGTAAAAAATAATGATCTAGGTAAAATGCTTCAGCGGTTCTGGTTCTTGAATCCTGATGTTTGAAACTTGTAGAATTATGTTTGCCATGATGATAGAGGTCACTTGTACTTTTGAGAGTTTATAGAGCATTTGGAAACAGCTTCTGTTTTGATTTGGCAACTCCATATGTTATTGCATATAAGTTTTGAGGGCTAAGATTAGTTGGAATATGTGAGATTTACCTCTTGTTTGTTTGTAAACTTCAGTGATTTATTTTGGAGTTATGTAAAGCATGATCTAGGTAAATTGCTTCAGCAGTCCTGGTTACAGCTTCTATTTTGATTTGACAACTCCACATGTTATTATTGCTTTTAATTCTTTAGGGCTAAAGTTTGTTGGAATCTATGAGATTTGCCTATTATTTTTGTTGTCAAATTTATGATTGAATCAAATTTTAAAATCGATTGGATCTCCGAATGCACATTCCACTCTTGATAATTAATTTAATGCAAAAGCAAAATTTAGGAGAAGAAATCATATGCGGACATGATTAGTACAACATTGTGCATTATTGAGGAATTGACTGGTAATATGTTTTGGAAATATGGGCTTTTTGCCATTTACCACTGGATTCTTGAAATCTCGTATGTATCGTCAATCCCAATATTTTGGAAATATGGACTTTCGATCTTTAATGACATGAGACTATCCTCTTGGAATAATTATTTTCATCTCATATATATGAATATTTTCAATATAGTATATTTTGTTAATATACTTGTATCAGTCAAAAACAAGTGGAATACATTACAGATTGCCATTGAACTCTTGAATCAGATAAACAAAAGATTGATGATCCTTGGGTCAGATGTTTGATATGTTATGTAACATTAATTCTGTGAACAAGATAAAATTAAATATGAATTGATTCAACTTGCAACCTATAAGTTCATACATATCAAAATGCAGTCAGCTTAGCACAAATTACCTTATAGGTATCCGAATTTGTTTAAATGTGTTGGAATTACGTTTTTAACCTCAAGAAAAGTTGATATTTCATAGGTTTATTTATAGTAAATTCTCTTTTATCATTTATTCCTAAATTTAGATTGCGTCTCTGATTAAATGTGTGTGATTAATTTGGAAAGCATTTCAGGTATGAAATAAATGGTTTCTTGTACAAACAGAGAGGTTATTCTAACTCTCTCTCTCTCTCTCTCTATATATATATATATATATATATATATATATATATATATATATATATATATAGAAGTGGTGGGGCCATGGTTTGTTGCAGCTGGAGGAAGGATGTATGAAGATTTGCATTTGGGTACTTAATAATCTTGCCTTATATTAATTCATTTGTTAGTTGAAGAATTGAGTGCTATATTTAATTGAAATAATTAAAATTAGTGTAGTATCTGTTCTGTAATCATAATTCATCCTCCTATCCTATGAATACTTAACATGTTTGTGGTTCCTATTGCACCTATTATTATTGGTATCCATTTCATATCTAATAATTGACATGAATACAAATATGAAATGTTCAATATTTAATTCCGATTAATGATGCCACTTTGCACCAGCAAATCTTTTTCTTAAAAAAGAAAAAGCCTCATTCATTTGCTCTATAATTAAGTTAATCAGGAAATAAATCAACGAGAAAAGACATTACAATAATGATATTAGAACTGACGCCTTCTCCACTCGTCGCCACGTGGGCGTTGACCTAGTCAGCCCCCAACAAAGACTGAATAGTCCTCCGCCAACCCCTCCCGCTTCTTTGGCTCGGAGATACCGGAACGCCCGCTTAGAACCGTCGAATATTCGCGATCACAGGATCCAACGGTTAGGGCCTCACTTTCCGACCAGGAATGGTTTCGTCTTTCCACTTTACACGCGTAAGTTAGCTGATCCAACCTCGTGATGCCACGTCACTTTAAAGTGCGCCGTCCGTCTCCCTGCCTCCCAACTCCCGCGAGCTTCCCTTCCCGTCTCTCGCTCCATTTCGCCCCTTTTCCTCCCTCCAGCCTCCCTCGGAGCCACGGCGCTTCTGTAGATTTCGTTCAACGCCGATCGGACGGTGAGGATTCAGGCCCCCGATACTCCATCGATCGCCCTCCCCGCCGTCCACCTCATTCCTCCATGTCTCCGCCATCCGGCCCCGTGGCCGACAGCCCGTCGCCGGCGAACTGCTCCGTCCGAAAGCGGACGGCGGCGCCGCCTCCCCCGCCTCCGAAGAAGTACCGGTCCATGGCGGAGATAATGCGGGTGGCGAAGCCCTCCGTCCCTGTCACCGGCGAGTACTACTCGGACCTCCGCTGTGAGGAATGCCGGTCCGGCGATCGCGACGAGGAGATGATCCTGTGTGACCGTTGCGACCGCGGGTACCACCTCTACTGCCTCCGGCCTATCGCCGTTAGGGTTCCGTCGGGGCCTTGGTTCTGCCCTAGCTGTGGTGGAGAGAGACAATTTAGAAGTATATCAACATTAGCATTTACTATTAACCGCTCTATAATATGATTTTAATGAAGAAAATGGTGAGTTTATTGTTCGTGTTCTGTTCGAGGATGGTAGGGTTTCCGATGATGCAGACAAAGATTATCGATTTTTTTCGGATTCAGGGAACCGAGGAGAAAAGTGGCCACTCCCAAGGTGATTGTACATGTTAGTTTATTCTCAATTATAATCTTGTTGTTGATCCATTCTTGTTAATTTAGATGCTTAGTTTGTTCATGTAGAGTTAAATTTTGAAAATTGCTTGGGCATTGATTTTCTCATGACCATGTTTCTTTTTCCTCGACAATGTATATTCTATGATCAGATACCACATTTTGCATATTTTGACATAATTGAAGATTAATCCTTGGTATATCATGTGCTTTTTTTATTTGTGTTTCTACAAAATAGTCGCAGTCATCAGGAGATAGTTATCTTTTGATTGTAATCAAAATGAGCTGGAGAATGAAGATGACTCATAGGAGACTAGTAAAAATGTTCATTGTAGATGATGCGGAATGAAATGTGAAAATGACCATATATTCTTGATGATGAATAAGGGGATCAGATCTTGACGTGCAGAGGTGACAAGGATGCAGGTGGACCCAAATCGAAGCAGCAGGTGGCACACCTTGATTGCAAGTTGAGATTATTCGCTGGTGGACAAAATTACTCATCAATTTGAGTGAGAGATAGAAGAGAAAATGTTTAAGGAATTAAGTGTCCATCCAAAGAAATCCTCTTTTTCTATCCATTTAGTCATACGAAACAGTCCCTTATGATTAAGTTGTTTCTTATAAATCTTCAAATGATTCGACTGCATCACATCTCAAGGAAACTATGTTTGTAAAATTATGTGCATAAAACAAAGAAAGAAAGATCTATTGTTACAAGATGCCACGTAGTGCTGAATGAGTAAGTTAGTACTTTGAAGAAAACCAGTGGAGTATTGTGACGATGCATGTGATTTTCTCTGAACTAGTAGTTTTTCTTTCTAGAACAAGCTAGCCATTTTTTAATGAGATAAAATAGAGGATGAGTTCATGAATAGTCAGAATTCTCTTCTGAAATCACTTTTGGTAATGCTAGCGGCCTAGCACGGAGATGCTGCCAGTCTACAGCATGTGCTTGTGCTTTTGGTTACCTCCAATTTTATGACTAGCCCCTGGGTTTCATATGTTTCGGAAGTCTTCAGTTTATGACCAATCTCTTATTGTTGCTCTTGTCCTGACTCCATCGGCTTCCACAACCGTAATCTCATATGATTACGGCCCCTCATTTAACACCATGTGCTGCAAACTTTGTAAATTATCTTCGAGCTATTTTTATGTATGAAAGCTGATCCATAACTTTTACATGTTGAAATGGCTACTGAAACTCCACTTTTTTTGCAAGTTCAGAATTAGATTTGTGATCCTTCTCTTTTTTTATTTGAATCTGGAGCTGGAATCGGTTCCCAATATATAATTTAACATAATATTGTGCAGACCACATCATCAGGAACCAAGGACACATGATATCATAGGACTTCAAGGTGTACCTGATATGAAATTTTCTCAATCACATCTTGCCCTTCTCCATATACATTACTTGTTGTAGCAACCTTGCCCTCTTACTTGCTTATATGGATATTTCTGTCAGAAATCATTACCTCTATGCATGTAGAGTTTGCAGAAATTTTTAGCATCTTGCATGTTTGAAAGTTATCTTTGTCGTATTGCAATAAGATTGTCAAACCAATTTGTATAGATGGAAGAAAGCGCAAGAGAAGTTCCTTAGTTATGTACAAGAAGAGGAGGAGAATATTGCCGTTCACTCCAACTGAAAATTCAGCTAGGAGACTTGAACAAATGAGTTCTCTTGCCACTGCACTAATAGCAATGCATATGAAATTTAGTAATGAGCTGACTTACATGCCTAGAATGGCCCCTAAATCTGCTAATCAAGCAAATTTAGAGAAGGATGGCATGCAGGTTTAGAAACTTTCTTTCTTCTATTTTTCAAAAATCTTCTCTTCATCCTTTTTTACAGATGAATTTTAATGCTTGCTTTCGACGTTCTTTAAGGTACTACCAAAGGAAGATAAAGAAACACTAGAGCTCTGCAGATCAATGTACAAAAGAGGGGAATGTCCTCCTCTCTTAGTTGTTTTTGATCCGCTTGAAGGGTACTTTCCCTTGATCTAATTGTACCTTGTTTTAGTTGGAAAATTGTTTAGACAGATGATGAATAATTGTAGTGAATGCAGATTCACTGTACAAGCTGATGGTCCTATAAAGGATATGACACTTGTAACCGAGTATACTGGCGATGTGGACTACTTGAAAAACCGGGAACATGATGATTGTGATAGCATGATGACCCTTCTTCTAGCAAAAGACCCCTCTGATAGCCTAGTTGTTTGTCCCGATAAACGTGGAAACATTGCTCGTTTCATTAATGGCATTAACAATCACTCCAGGTATGCTCTTAACTTGATTCCTTGTCTGTATCATGGAAAATTTGTAATATATTAATATCAGAGTACTCGCATTATGCTTACATTACTGTCACTCGTGTGCGTTAGCTTTAAGATCTTGCTTAAGTCTAGATATTACTTTTGGATATTTCATGCCAACGATTTCAATTCTCATTATAAGACTATATCCAGAACCTGGGACTTATTATGCTTGAAACTCTCAATAATTTGCAGGGATGGTAGGAAGAAGGAGAACCTTAAATGTGTAAGGTATGATGTAAACGGTGAGTGCCGAGTCTTATTGGTTGCTTGCCGTGATATATGTAGTGGAGAACGGCTATATTATGATTACAATGGATACGAGCAAGAATACCCTACTCACAATTTTGTTTGACAATCTCGGCAACCTCATTAACATATACACTTTAACCTCTTCTTTGAGATTGGGTGAGTAGGGATCAATTTTTGGCAGACAGCTTTTGGTCCTTTCTCGGCGAAGCTCTCCAATTTTGTAGCTTCACGATTAAAGTTCTGATTCCATGTAGTGTTTTCCCATCTTTAAGATATGGGTTAAGCCACATGAGCATTTAAAAGTTTGATTTGTTTCTTGGCTATTGTTATACAAGGAATATTTTTGTTCTACCAAAAATTCATACAATGTTGCTGAAACTTCAAAAGCAATTCAATCTATACTTGTGTCATTTCACTTGGTTCCCTCTCTCCATCTCCAAAATTTTGTTAAGAAGATGCAGAATTAGAGAAGGCTGTAGTTGTCTGAAATGTTAAAAAAATAATAATAATTTGAAGTCCTTTTGATGTATGATCCGAGTAAGAAAAGTTATCCATGGATAGAATTAAAAGATACAACATGACAATCATTGGATTGAGCCTCATATGAACTATATTAGTGATTTTGAGTTATCTTGATCCTTGATCAAGTACTAAAATTGAGGATCAAGTAATGAAACTCTTAAGCATAGGAGATTTTAATACCTCCCCCCGAGTAAGAAAGACTACCCATGGATAGGGCTAGAAGACAGGCCATGTGTAAAAGCTAATAGTGGTCTATGTTGGTCCTTGACTAGGATATGAAGCTATTATATGTCAAAGATTATAATACATCAATTTCATATCACATAGGATGGAAAAAAAATAACTTGAATAAATTAATAAGGCTAAATTGATCTACTATATTTAACAATCATGATAGATGGTATTACATGAAAGTATTGATAGGCTACGTCTCACCTGCATCACGTTAGAGTTTGATTTTAGGACACTTGCATGACGTTAAAGTTTGATTTTAGGATAACATTGAGTTTTAATAAGGATGTCAAGCCATAAAGACAATATAACATCCAAAATATATCCTATTTATTAATGATTTATGCTCAATAAATTAGTAGTCGATTATCCATCGGCCTAATCATAATAATATTCTTCTATTAAAATTAAATTTTGGAGTGTTTAGAATTCACTATCCTCCTCTTATATTTTTTAGTCATTTTAAAAGATCGGATAAGTAAAAAATAATAATAATGATATTATAAGATATCAATTCAATCACGAACAATTCAATTGATTCCGTAAGGCCACAAAGGTGGATCCATTTATATTTTCTAGAAATAATGAGTTGTGGTTTGCTTCACTCGTCATATACTTACAACAATATATAGAGTTCTACGTTGAAGCGAGAAGGAGAGGTGACTTCTGGTGATATCCAATATATGGATCCATCGGAACTTATTGGAACAACATCACTGGAATTTGTACATTCCTTGCTGTCTTCCCACCATAATATTTCTCGCCAACATTGTCTCAAAAATAGTAGGGTTAAAGTCTATTTTAGCTCTTGTAGTTTTGGTTATGAACCACTTAAGCCCTTATAGTTTACTCGTATAAAAAATAATCTCTATATTTTAAAAAACGTAGCATATAAGCCCCTCCCGTCAAGTCTGAGTTAACAGACATTAGAGTTTGCTTACGTGACATGTTGACTCACAATAAATCATTAATATAATGACACGTGTAATTTAGGGTTAAAGTCCATTTTAGTCTATGTCGATTTGGCCATGGACCAGTTAAGCTCTTATGGTTTATTTATGTCTAAAATAACCCTTATATTTTTAAAAACATAGAATATAAATTCCTCCCATTAAATCTGAGTTAACTAACGTTTATGTAGCATGCTGACTCACAATAAATCATTAATCTAATGACACATGTAATTTAAGTTTTTTTAAAAAATTGAGACCACCATTAATGGCGAGAGGAGACGTCATCGTGGAAGCAACTACCAGTAGTAGCACTGAGCCGCTGCTGCCCAATAAGGCGTCATATACATGCTGCCTCTCCTACATTGACGATGAGCTTAGAAGCTTTCGGTCTTGCCTTAAGTGGATGTGCGTCGATCAATCCAACGCTAGGCATGCAGTAGTCTCTTGGTCCCTCCTCCTAGGCGTCTTCATCCCCATTGCCTCCCGCTTCGTCCTCTCTTACGCCCCCACCCACTGCACCTATGATGTGGTGGTTTAGCTCTCCCTCACCTCCGTCTTTGCCTCTTCGCCTTCGTTCGTCGCTACGGTCTCCGTTGCTTCCTCTTCCTCGACAAGATGAACCTTAACCCTTTTTAAAACTTAAACTACACGTGTCATTATATTAATGGTTTATTGTGAGTCAACATACCATATAAGCAGACTCTAACATCTGTTAACTCAGACTTAACGGGAGGGGATTATATGTTACGTTTTAAAAAATGTAAGGATTATTTTGTACACGAGTAAACTATAAGGGCTTAAGTGATCCATGGCCAAAACCACAGGGGCTAAAATGGACCTTAACCCTTTTTTAAACTTAAATTACATGTATCATTATATTAATGATTTATTGTGAGTCAGCATGTCACGTAAGTAGACTCTAACGTCTGTTAACTCATACTTATCGGGAGGAGCATGTTATGTTTTTTAAAATATAGGGGTTATTTTAGATACGAGTAAACAATAAAGACTTAAGTGGTCCATGACAAAAAACCACAGAGGTTAACCTAAATAGAAAGCAATTCAAGAATGCACCACTTTTGTACCTTGCGAGAGAGAACAAAACCCCAACTGTGTTTGAGTTGGATTGTTCAGATAAGTTGATATTGGTGTTGTGATTGATGAACATATCATTGACGACATTTATTTTTGGTAGATGGGAGTTTACTTTTGGGCAATCTCTAAATTTTTAGTCAAGAGGAAAAAATTTTGTATATAAAAAAAGAATATTAAATGCAATTTCGGTAATGTTAGTTAAAAGTCACAATAGATGCATTATACATTTTTTTTATAAAAAGAAATTATCTTTATTTTCCTTGGATTGATCATTCAATGAGGATTGGGATGAGGATATTAAAACGAATGTATGAGCTTAGTGAAAAGATCAAATAAAAAAGGTTTTTTATGACAAGAATCATGAGGGAAGATTCTAATCAGCAAAGGCAGTGTTAAGCACTTTGCATATCATTATGGGAAGATAGTGTAAGTTGACCACATTATAAGGGTGGAAGAAACTGAAACAATCTCTATTCTTTTCTAAGGTATTCTTGTCCCTCTGATGGATCAATAGGAATATATTCTCGGATAAACTTGTGCATGGCATTATTGTCAGATTTAAATTATGTATCTGACAAAGTCAAGTAGTGTCATGTTATTAGGTATCATTTGGTTGGAGAGCAAGGAGAAGAAACTTCAAATAAATCAATTGCTATTGCAGTGAGAATTTGAGAGAGAAATGGAAAGAAAGGAGTTACAAAAGACAGTTGCAGAACCACAGATATCCTAAATTACACCACAATGATCACAAGTCATTGGTAGAAGAAGAAAGGAAGATATTATTAGTCCTATCAATAAAATATTGTGCTGAGTTTGCTATCAGAGAGCATTTTGATCTCTCTCCAGCCACAATTGTTTCTCCAAATGAAGGTAACCCTTAATTTCCATAGGATCTCCCAATCCACATAGGCATATTAATCTCTCTGTAGATTCCACTGGAATCCACCTGCAAATTTATCTTGATTTTTCTCATGAACTCCCTTTCAATATCTTTCTTCCATGTACAGTGAATTGATATTTTGATCTTATCCTCTGAAGCCTCCAAATTCAGACAATGAAGGGATATAAAATGCAAAGAATAGCTGTGAGGACGAATTTTACAAGATTATATCTCCCCTGAACAAAACAAGGTTCATTTTCAAAGTCAGTCTATGCAGCATAAGCAACCTCAACATAGAGTGTCTTAGAGAAAAGCTGAGTTGCAGATATAATGGTATCTCGGAAATCACTTCAAGATGGTCTTAGGTTAAGAAAAATAATGATGTAAGCTTTCTGGGGAAATTAAAGATGTCACTTGCTGAGCTTCTCTTCAGCATTCAGATCATCCAAATATTTCGAGTTTGATTCAGCATTCTCAGTAGGGAGAAGATTTCTTTCTTGGTACCATAATTTAGACCTTGAAGCTTCTGGCTTTCAACCAAGACTTGGGAATAAGGCCCTAGTTTTGCCAACCAAATAGCAATTGACCACCTTAATTGTAGTCATTATATACAGTTCATGTTGTCAAATCAGATCCTTGGGTTGGCAAATCCAATGCCTTTTGGATGAGGAAATCGTTACAACTCCTCCAGATTTCTAACAAAATTCTCAGGGTATGCTTGCTAAGAATACTAAATGAAGTAGAGAATGGGCATGAACATGATATACCAACCATATCTAGATCAGAGTGAATGAATGAGCCTGTGAAGGTTTTGGCCTCCTCGTGGAACTCTGGAATTAACAGCATCAAGTTACCTTGGATTACTCTCAGAATGGGAATCTGAAACCAAGGAATCCAATATACTCTGTGGGTCTCTACTGCATCTGTCATCTTCCTAATTCCAAAGCAACATAATCATGACATGCTTAATGCTATCATCATAGAATCGAATCCAAGTACTGTACCCCTTTTGGCACCAGTAGATTTCCTTCCTCCTTGATAGTTAACTGACCCCATCCTGGTGTTTGATGGCGAATGAGCAACTCAATTGATATTGGCTACATGGATTGAATGATCTTTGTATCAGGGTGCATTAAAAGTTGTTTGTCTCATCCAAATTCCGCAAAATCATATCCACATTTTGCCATTGTTTTGTTTTCATAGATAGTTGGGATTCTCTCAATGGAGAAGATATGAAAATTTTCTATAGAATTTCTAAACTTATGTGAAAAATTTATATATCTTAAACTTTATATTGACTATTTTTCTAAATTTATTGTTATCCAATTCAAATCTTTGTCATGGATTGTGAGTTGTAATATTTGTGCAATATTGATTCTTTATTTAGATTTTTTTTTACGTCATACATTTGCAAAGAATTGTGTCATAGATGGTTGTGTATTGTGATGAGAGTTTGATCGTCGCTTATAATCATACTCATGAATCAGGGTGATTATTCTTGAATCATTGAATGATTGATACGACAAAGATATAACATGTAAGTGTATCGAGATTAGTCCGATCTATGATCGATGCTCTTATCAATTTGAATATTATTTATAAATATACCCAGAGGAATATTTTATAATCATTTAAGCTAAAATATGAAATGAAAATATCAAAACCCAGACTTATAAGTTAATAAATCATCCCTTAGTTTTGCTAAAACAAAAAACAAACAAAATTAACTTTTGTCACATCTCCTTTTCAAGTCTCAGAAACAAAAGACAAAGTGTTCTCTTTGCCTGGTTAGGAAGGGAAGGAGCCTTTGTCTGTGTGCCATCCGATAAATAACAATGTTGCATGTACTGATCACCTAAATTTGCAGATGGCCTCCTCCATCCAAGAACAAGTATGATTGTGTTGCTTCATGATCAAGACAAGAAGAATCCAAACCGCCACCCTTCTTCTCTTTCATCTCTTCACCTTTTACTTCCCCCCATTGTTTCTATAAACCCACCAGAGTATCAGCTCACATACAATTCTCGTCTTCCCTATTTATCTCCCTCCTCCTCCTCCTCCCTTCCGCACTTACCACTGAGCCATTTACCACTCGTCTTTCCTCTACATATCCTGTCTCCACGTTTCGTTTGCAGCCAAGTAAGCAGTAGCTTAGCTTAGCTTTTATGCTATCCTTGTAGGTAGTAGTTGCTGTTTTTTTCTGGTAGTCACTGCGGAATTAGGCAAAATGGCAGGAGGAGGGAGGAAGATGAAGTCTTAATTTCCACCGGTGCTTTCTTGTATTCCTAATTAGAACGTCATATTGAGTTCAGAAGACTAGACTCCTTCCTTGGCTTCCATTTCATTGTTGTGGGAGACATTATTCTCTTCCTCGGGTTGATTCTGGTTTCACAAGCTGATGGGAAAGAACAGGTTCAAGCTCTCTGACATGCTGCCGTATGCTTGGTTCTACAAGCTCAAGTTCATGAGCCTCAGAGGAAGAAGAGATCACAGCATGTCACAGTCCACCAAGAGAAGCCAGCCTGCACCCACGCCCTTGCCGCCTCCACAGACAAGGATCCTCCCCAGCAGAGCCTCATGCTATGTCTCCAGCAGATCACAAGAAGAGAAGTCCATCGAGCCACCAAGGAAATCCAAGAGGAGGAGCAGAAGAGAGACCGTGGCGGATCCCAGCGACAACATCAAGCTGGTCACCTCCTCCGTCTCTGCCGGCTGCAGCTGCAGGGTGTGGAAGACCGAGTCCATCTCTGTGTTCCCTGCGCGGGCGGCCGCTCCCGAGAGCCCGCCGCACCTGCGAGACCCCTACGTCGATCGTGATCACGGATATCCGTGCAACACCAACGCCATCGATCGGCTCAGCTTCGATCGTGTCGCCTCGTGGTCACGCTTCGACTGCAGGTTCACCTCCTCCGCCAGCGACATCACTATCGACGTGGGCCGCAGAGCCTCCGACGAGCTCTCGGAGTTGGAACTCCCTCCGATCGCCATAAAGCCCAGCAAGGACGAATCTGACCCGACAAAATTCCAAGACAAAACTGTGGTGGGAAAGGTGGTGAGCCATCGCAACGCTTCAGCAAAGAGGTCATCGCCGGGGCTTCACCGGCTCCGGACGCGAGGAAACTCCCCGCGGCTGGCCTGCAAGAAGCTTCGACCTCGCTGCAACCGGAGGAGCGGCACGTCGACAGCGCCGGCGGCGATGCAGAAAGGCAAGGGCTTATCCGGCAGCTTTGCAGTCGTCAAATCGTCGTCGGACCCTCAGAGGGACTTCAGGGACTCCATGGTGGAGATGATAGTGGAGAACAACATCCGGGCATCGAAAGATTTGGAAGAACTGCTCGCCTGCTATCTGTCTCTGAATTCCGACGAGTACCACGGTGTGATCGTCGCGGTGTTCCAGCAAATTTGGTTTGAACTGACAAGCTTAAATCTGTAGTATTACTGTACCGAAGAGTGATTCCACAACATTTTATATATATAATAGCTCTGAATTATGAGTTCATCCCTATCATTGCTAATGTAAACAAAGATTACAATGAGCAAACACAGATTCGATTTCAAGCAAATGGCATGGGAAGCTCTGCCACATTATTCCTCATGGCCATGCAGTTTCCTCCGACGCTGCACGAAAACGACAAGTTCATGTTTGATGGAAGGTACCCCACCCGACAAGCACGATGGAGGACACAAGATCTTAAATTGCAGATCTAATTGTAGTCCATGAGACCACTGGATCTTTACCTTGGTCTCGCTACTAACCAGGTGAAACAGAGGTGAGCAAAAAAGAAGAAAGGACAGTGGATTTAGAACCTTCAGATAATTCTGAATCCTGCGTACCATTTGCAATGCAGACAAGAAACATACTATTAGGTGAGATCTGACAAGATTTTAAATCAGGGAACAGTAAAGGAAGCACTGAGATCTGTCAAGAATCTAATACACTATGCAGAGGCTTCAGATGTCATTCATTTATTGTTCGTTTGGGATCTTAATTGTTGTTCATCAGCAGTCCTTACGGAGGTGATAGCTTTGAAACATCAACCGATTCATTTAATGTTCTTTTGGGATCTTAATTGTTGTTCATCAGCAGTCCTTCCGGAGGTGATAGCTTTGAAACATCAACTGATAAGACAGGATATCATAATGATCCTTAAAACTATTGAACTGTTCTTGCTGTCACAGTTCAGAGTTTTAAAGGGTTCAACATATGATTTCAGAATCAGAAAAAAATAATAATCTTGGAGAAAAATAATAAACTTTCCATGTACTGATGTCCATTCATATTAAAGAATATGCAAATGTAGCAAATCTGAGGTATATTCTCAATTCATTTTATGCCACTTGTGATGACTGTGACCATAAAGACTCTTTAGCAACCTGTTGCTAGTTGTAGTTGTTTCTCATTCATTTCACTATAAATGGCTTCAAAAGTGCCATTTCTTGGAGGTCATAATTTCAACAAGTCTCCCACAAACAAACTTTTATTGTTGGATATCATGAAAATAATCAAAATAGTTTTTGTGTACTGTTTAGATCAAAAAATTAAAGAATAATGACTTCATCCACTATGTCTATTTTTCACTAAATCTTGAATTTATATCTCATGCATCAAATGACATTATTATCATTATTGGCACCATTATCGTAAATACTTGAGAAGAAATATTTTTCTAAAATTGTATTTGTTTTAGGAAAGTATTTATTAAATTATTCCATGCTCTCATAATATTAACCCTTATTCTTCTTGTTTACATGGGATTAATCATGAATTTATTATAGTCATTTTCCATGCATTATTTCTAATAGGAGAAATAATGTAGCAAAAGAGTTGATGGGGTGATCTCTTTGGTATTTCTTCTGATAGGCTCTTCCAAATCTTTAATCAATCATTTTGATGTTACATGCACTAAGAAACACAGTGTTTGAAAATAATTATTAATGTCATCATATATGGTTTTTGCCTTTGGAGTCTTTTTTTTTTCTTTTAATGGCTATTTATTGATTATTTTCAAAAAGGTGGAAAATGTATGATGTTGTCAACTAAGTTCAACACTTTACAATCCACCATAAAAATAAAATAAAAAATGGAAATATGAAAGTTTATATATATATATATATGTATATATATATATATATATATGTATATATATATATATATATATGTATATATATATATATATATATGTATATATATATTGGAGCATTTGGTGGAAAATGACATTCCATCTTCCTTGCTAACTATTATTCTCTACTTCTTTTTGTATTTTTGGCATTCCTTATAATGCATTTGATGACTGCACTATTCTTCTGAACAGGAAGCATTAGTTTGGATTACCCTCAACAAGAACTTATTTGTAGGTAATGACAAACTTAATAATCAATTGAGGCATGAGAATTCCTCCAAATTAAGGACATCAAGTTTTTGTTGCTATAAGAAGATCGAGATAATGAGGATCATCAAATCAAGGATAACGATTAAAGATCATATCTGAAAGTTGAAATACCAAATAATATGATTTAAATAACGACGAAACACATAGAAAATATAACTATAAATATATAAAATTAAAGAACAAAAAGTTCTAAAAAAACATAAAGCAGTAAACAATATAACATACGGACTTTGTACTAATAATATAGAATAATATAAGTACTACAAAATAGAAAGGTTGGCATAAATTAATCAAATGTAACTACAGAAAAACAACACAAAATAATATAACAAGTTGGTTTAAGAAATATCATATATATATATATATATATATATATATATATATATATATATATATATATAGTAAAAACGTTTTTAATTAGTAAATTATATTAATTATTATAATCAACTTCAGTTTCAAGAAATAAAATAAAGGGAGGAGAGAGAGAGAGAGAGAGAGAGAGAGAGAAGGGTAAAAGCATGAGTTGTCCCTTTAGATAGCAAATATGCTCCAAAAGCATAAAAAGTGTGATTGATCTCTTGGATGCCGACGGATGTGATGGTGGGAAATTAGCATGAGTCGTTGCCGGAAAGCCGTGATTCTTTCTTTCTTGGATTGATTGAGGTTATTTGATCGTCCTTTTGCGTAATATTACAAAACAGGATTTTATTGATCTCCAATTGTGTAATTTGAATCTTTTAAAGTATTTATTTATTTTTTAAATTTTAATATTATTTATAAAAAGATAAAATGATAAAAATGAAATTTGGAAAATCTCTCTCTCTCTCTCTCTCTCTCTCTCTCTCTCTCTATGTACGTATACGTATATTGAATATGTACGTATGCATTTTCAGGAAAAAAAAGAAACGTTTAGCTAATATGCCTCACATATATTGAATATTCATCATATGTCCATGTTTTAACTTTTCATTAAATTCTAATTAATATTAATATCTTTCATTATTGTTATTGTGATAATAACAATATTAAAATATTTTACATATTTTAATAAATTTAAATCCATTGCTAAGCATTGCAGAATATTGTTTCTTTCTATCTAATCCTCTAAAATGGGATATGATCACTTGATAATTTATTATGGTAAAAGTAATGTGACTGTCCTATTAGCATAGCACCTTATGTGACTGACTCATCAGCACTCCACGTCATTGATATCTACCCAATAAGAGCTCCCTTATTGTCCAAGCTATTGGCTGACGTATGGTTAATCTAAAAGAATAGCTCAATGATAATTCCAACTAATGATGGTTCTAGCCAATGTAATTATGGTTTTAACCAAATATAGCAATTAAGTATAACAGCCCTCAATCTTTTTCAATGGATTTTTCAAGATCCGACCCTTAACTATCCGCCTCTTACCTCACCTATAACAATGATAATTCTTGTATAAATCTTCCATCGTTAACTATTCTCCGGCTCGACGTTCAATCTTCTGACATGTTTGTTTCGACCCAATATTTGATTCCTCCTACTTTAATCAATTTGCCTCTTCTGATCGAAGCTAGTTCTACATCACTTAAACGTACTTAAGATAAATACTATCAATTAGTTTTATCATTAAAATCCGAGATTCAACAGATAATTCTTGTATAAACCTTCCACATGCAAATATAGGTTTTAACCAGGATAGTCCATACATTCACTTCTTATCTACTACAACTTTCCAACTTGCTCATCAAACCCCACCTACATTCATTCTATCGATCCCATCTCTGACTGCACCACTAACCTCTATTCCCAATCTAGTGGATAATGTTGAATCTCATATTTTGATGATGAAATCAATTGATAATGTTTATGATTTGATCTGTATTTTGAGTGACACGAGATGCTTCGATCAGGGAGAGACAATTAAAGTAGGAAGAATCATATTGGGCCGAAGAAAAATATGTCAAAAGATTGGACGTTGAGCCAAAGGATCGGTCGACCTATCAACAAAAGGCTTCGGGCCATGAGTTCGAGCATTGGTCAAAGAAGAGCGGATATTGCGCTAAGGAAATCGGAGTTACGGAGGTCAATTGGCCAATAAGGCAATAGGCCACAAGAGAGGACGATGCGCTGAAGAATCAAACGAAGCGTTGATGAACCAATGACATACCAGATAACATTTGATTTGCTTAGTAATAATTATCTAGATTGAAGTGGATTTTAAGTGTGCAGGATTAACTATGATAGCAAGGCATAAAGCAAAATGAAGTCCCGGAGTCAAGAACGTGATTTTGTTGAGAGTTCATCGGAAGTCCGGACGTTCGTCAGAAGTTTGGACGGAATTGATCGAGAAGACCAGGAGCTTGCCAAAGAAGCTCATCGAAACTAAAAAAAAAGATCGTCGTGAAGTCCAAGAGTTTGCTGGGAGTCTACTGGAACATTGCCTAGAGATCGTCAGAAGTTCGCTAGAAGAAACCTAGACTTACAGACTTACAAACTGTGTTGGGCCTAATAAAAGGCCTAAACAATGACCCAACAGGTGACACCGTCGTGGCACAGTCTCCGAGACTATGTCAGGCGATAGTATCGCTAGTTTGGGCGATGGTACTGCCCAGACACAGTCTTCCATTCGGTGGTACCGTCCGATGTTAGTGCTATAGGCAGTGGTACCGTCAGGACTCGAGAAACCCAAGATGAGACCTTTTTAGGCTCCAAGTTTGAATCAACTTGAGGCTTATAAATACCCCTCTCATCTCTAGTTAAACTACACAAGCACATAGAGCTTAAAAGTGGAAAAACGCTGTTGTAATACTTGAGAGATCCCCTCCTTTAGTCTAAGTTTAGAATTCCGTTTAGGAGGAGTGAGTGCTTGTAAAAGGTTCTCTCCTAAACCTATGAAAAGGAGAATAGGGGTGTAAAAGGGTAGTTGGTCTTCGCCCATTGAAGGATGACTGATAGTGGATGCCGGTGGCCTTGATGGAAGAGGAATCAATGGAGTAGATGTAGGTCACGATGACTGAACCACTATAAAAATCTGGTTTGCATTTTTTTTTAG